TGTGTGTGTGTGTGTGTGTGTGTGCGTGCGTGCGTGCGTGCGTGTGTGTGCGTGTGTGTGTGTGTGTGTGTGTGTGTGTGTGTGTGTGTGTGTGTGGGGGGGGGGTGTCTGTGTGTATGTTTGGCTACTGGCTGTTCAGAGGGAAAGTGGGAAATATTAGTATACACAAAAAAGGAATGTGTGTAAAAAGACCTCAGCGTGTGGAGCCCTACAGAATAAAATGGTTGTGTGTGAGTAAGACATTTGTGTGTGTGTGTGTGTGTGTGTGTGTGTGTGTGTGTGTGTGTGTGTGTGTGTGTGTGTGTGTGTGTGTGAGAGAGTGTTTCAATAAGTCCGACTCATGTTTCCCTTTAATAGACTTTATTAAAGATATTTTGAAGATGGTAGGATTCTGTTAAAGTGCCCCCTGCTCGTTCCCTTACAGCTGGCTTCATCAAAAAACCAAATTGGTCACAAACAGGAGTCATTGGCCACATACAGCACCAACACATTACTGTAAATATGATTTATGCAAATGTGCCATTCACATAATATGGTCCCTAGATACCATAAATACTTTGTTGACATAAACTCTATATAATACTGCCATAATACACATCCATTTACAATTGAAGAAAGAAAGGTGAACATTGTGCAAAGACATAAACAGGAACTTCTTATACCAGATATTCCATCGAGTTCCCATTACACTGAGAATATGTTTTACAATGAATATATACTATATTACAGTAAATGCATTAGGATTAAGACAACAATACTTTCTTCCCAGTCTCCAGAGGAGAGTACATTCTCACACCCTTGTGCTATTCTCTAAAATAAAAGACCGACAGGGAAATATATATATTCATATATATAGACTTCATTCTTAATCTCATCAGAAGGCCAGTCATCTCAAGACATTCAAAAATACTCACAATCACAGAAAAACACACACTATAGAAATTGCATCGCAGTGGAGGGTCAATAATACTTTAGGTAACGTTTTACAAACACCTATAATCTATATAAGAAGGACGATGGATTGCTCTGTTCCCGATTCACTTTCTTTGGCGGACAATATCACTATAAATAAACTTTACTCAAGTTCCCGTGTTTGCATTTACAAATGTATAACTGCGTAATACACATAAAGATACATTTACAATAAAATACCTGAATCTGAAAAACAGTGGGAATGCAATAAAGATGAGTTCTTATAATCAAATATTTTTAACAGTGTTATATAAACACATATCACGTGATTGCATGAAACAAGAGACAACGAGCCAGCGTTTTACGAGTTAAAGTGGTCACAGACTTTTAAGGGTAGCTTTTTAAATCTGAAATTAATATATTAATATTGCAGCTTGGTACTTATGGTGTGCACATTATGTTATAATAAGCTTATTTTTAACACAGCTTCAAATACATGACAGGGTGTCAAACGCACACCTGCGCAGACACACACACACACACACACACACACACACACACACACACACACACACACACACACTCCTTATCATATCTTTAGGTTGGAGATGACATATATGTACAGCTGAAAGCGCCCATGAATCTAGCAAATGTATGATAGAGCAGAATAAATGTATGATAGGTTATTATATTTTCATCTGTGCTTTTCTCCCTTTCATTGTTAAAACACACTCAGACACACAAGACGACAACAAACAGGAAACACAATACTTTATCCACGGCACACACACATACATTAGATGTTAGCATGTACCCGGAGCCTTCACAATATACTTATATATTTTGTCTAGAGGAGGAACTATGCTCTAGAGAGCCGGTCAGAGTGCTTCAGACAGAGACAGCCTGGATAGAAAGAACCTAAAACATGTGCTCTCATTATTCTGTCCGCAGCACGGTGAGCGTCTCGCTCTACAGGTCTACTCCCATCCGCTCGATCTCGTCGATGAGGAAGTCGATGTCAGACTGTGTGACCGCCAGATTGGACACCACCATGCGGAAGAAGTTGACTTTGTTGCCCTGAGGCTGGTAGCCCACCATGGTGGTCCCTGACTCCATCATCATGGCCTTGATCTTCGGTGCCACCTGGTGGAGTAAAGAAAAGGCCGTTCTGAGTCAGTTCTAAGAGGCCCTATGATGCATCTTGGCCATTCCCCTTCCTGTAGTTTGTTATATAGGTTTTTGTGCAATGGTCTGCAAAGGCTTGAATCCCAAAGTTCCTTCCGGAGGGAGATTTAATCAGGTATTTGGCTTTGATGGTATTAACCATAACTTTGATATTTAAAAAGGGAACTATTGAAACCATGTTAATAATACCCATATGATAATATCATCTAAATAACCAAGCTCCTCTTAAACCATTTCTGTTCCCTTTCTTTCTATGTTTTGAGTGTAATTAATTTGCCAAAAAAGCCCAACAAGGAAAACTGCAAGAATATTGTTATCATGAATTCTTGTATGAATAACTGTGTAGTGAAAATGTGATAGTGTGAGAACCTTTTGTTCATAGAACATAATTAAATGGTTGAATACATAAAAATAATGGGTAAATCTGTGTCTGATACAACAAAATCAATGCTTTAAAATAATGTTTTTATTTAACAGGGATAATACATGATACATGTATTGCAGCTTAAAGCCATTGTCCCTCTGTAGTCCAGTGTTGTACAGGGTGATGAAAGAAACTATAAGTTAAAGGTCTTACCTTATGGAGTTTCTCTCTCCGCTCCTCTCCCTCAGGCATGCCTCTCAGGCTCGGAGGGATGTACCAGAAGCAGACATTGGTGTGCTGGGGCTACAAACAGAAATATACACAGTTAACACACTCGTAAAGATGAAGGAAGAGTACATGACATTACGTCAATTACAGTTTGTAAAAATGTATATTGACGTTAGATCATGCCAGTTTATCTCATTAAACATTATTGTGATAAATATCATGAAATAACTGAAAACTGAAGACACTCACCTCTCCATCAAACACCATCTGATAACCCTCCCTGTTCTTGATCTTGTTGTACAGGTACTGAGAGAGATCCAAACACTTGTCGATGTGCTGCTCAAACCCGATGGTGCCCTGCAGGTCAGAACAAGTACGTTAGGTGCTTATAACAACAACAACAAAATCGCAGAAAATGAAATCGATTACTGTTTTATTGACCTTGGCCTTCCACATGAGCCAGAACTTAAAGATGTCGACGTGTCGGCCACACTGGATGGCTTTGTCCCCCGTGTCGTAGGTGACATCGTACTGTTTGTCGGGTTGGAACAGGTAGCCGGCGCACATGGAGTTACATCCTGCCAGGATCCCCTACACACACACACACACACACACACACACACACACACACACACACACACACACACACACACACACACACACACACACACACACACACACACACACACATTTAACACTGTTAACCTCTTTCTTCACAGTTCCAAACCTCCATGATGTTTCAATAGCGTGTGTGTTTTATGTACCTTCTCTCTGACCAGGATGGCAGAGCACTGCAGAGGCACGCCCATCATCTTGTGAGGGTTCCATGTGACAGAGTTGGCCCTGCAGAGTTTCATAAAAGCCTTAATAAACTGAGCTAGACTCACTGAAAATGATCCTTTGCATTACAGTAAAGGCAGAAGAAACCGTCTGTTCCCATGTACTTACCGCTCCACTCCACTGAGCTTATGGCGATGCTTCCTGGACATCAGAAGTCCACCACCCCACGCTCCCTAAAGGAGAGAGTTATTTTATAGAGGGCATGCAGGCGAGGACAAAAGTTCAAATTGCAAACTTCTGTATGTATATCTGTATTTATGTCAGTCTTGGGATGCCATTGGGACCAAAAATATATTTTCCCATTGACTTACATTCACAGAGCTGTCTGTTAATCAGCGTATCATTTTGTGGGAGGAAATCAACTACCCAGTAGGAACACCTGAACAGCCCTTTCGGTCCTAAAAGTTCCAAAATATGCTAAAAGCTGTAACGATAGTTTTTCGCCACCAGCCCTGATTGTCGTTGCTTCGGTAAACACAGCACTATACAAATAACATTTAGAAATGTCGATTTATTTTCACTATTTGAGTAACATACCATTGTTCTGGTGTCGACAAGAAGCCACCATTAGTTGTATTGGGTTGAATTAGTTGTTTTATTATTTGGTGGCATGAACAATCATTGTTAGCTAGCTAACAGCTGTGTCCGTCACTTCAGGTGAGGGCAGAGCAGCTGTGTGTGATTTGAGACAACTCTACAAGGTTGAAATCCACCCATTGTATAAGTGTATGAAATGTAGCATAGGAGAGTATCCCCATTGAGACACGGCAACAGTATTACTACTTTTATCCAAATACTATGGCACTACTACTCACGTCAACGTGGAGCCACAGGTTGTACTTCTCACAGATGTCAGCGATCTCGTTGATGGGGTCAAACGCGCCGTACACTGTGGAACCAGCGGTGGCATTCACAAACAGTGGCACGTAACCCTGCAGAATGAATACGAATAGAGGGGAAAAGTGTTTGTTCAAAATTGAAAACAAAAAAATGAACTAAGTAAAAGGAATAAAAAGAAACAATGACACTAACCTTCTGTTTAGCCTCAAGGATCTTGGCCTCCAGATCTGCAGGAATGACTCTCCCCCTGTAAAAAGGGTTGAACATTATATTATCATCACATGAAACTTGTTGTGTGAGAATCATGGAGTCGTCTCCTCTCTTTTCCCGTACAGATTTGACACATTTACTGTAATAATTGTGGATTGAAATGGACTCCCCACCTCTCGTCTGTGCTGAGCAGGATCACATTCTCAGAGCCAAAACCCAGAGCAGCTCCAGCCTTCTTTATGGAGTAATGGCTCTGTAGGGACAAACAATAGAACTCATCCTCCATCGTAATGATAGAGAGGAACAGTGTGCACTTTCTTTTCTACAGACGCAGGATACTTGATTTATCCGGGAGAATTTAGTTTTGTGACAGTTGCTCCATTTTAGAATAAAAATAAAATACGAATACAAACATCTGAAAAATATATTAATGTAAACATGAGAAGTGAAGTAACAATGTAAATTAATAGGATCAAATAAATGAATGTATATAAACATAAAAAGTTATAGCTAATAAAATCAAATACATTTCTACAAAATAGAAAAACAATGTTTAAAGAACTTAAAGTAACATCGGAAATAAAATAACTACTAAATAATACTTTTATAAAAACATAAAATAGAATCTGTAATTAAATATGATGTAAAAAATAAATAAAAAATGTAAGTAAGTTTAAGTAAAAATATGCACATTCACTAGAATATACATCATTGATATTACAATATAAACAGTGGTAAAATAGTATTGGTAAGGTAAATAATGCTGAATTGCACAGTTTGAAAGTGTTTGGCTGCTGACCGTGAAGGTTTGTATTGTATGGCATTGTATTCATAATGCTTGGCCACTATTTGGTAGTAACCTGTCCAGGGACTACAGATAACAATGTGTTCATTAACTAACTCACATTTGCATTGAATGGAAACTGAAATGTTGATTACGTAATGTGCACTGTCAATAGTAAACTAAACTAAACTAACTAGCCTGCTTTCTACGAGCTGTGAAACTATTTATAGAAAAGGGTGCATGTGATAAAAGCAGAATGAATCTATAAAACTAGCTATAGCTTTGATTCAAATAGGCCTACTGATTATTATCGGACTTATTCAATGGCCCAATCTACAGCCGATGAAGCATGGCGCCTGCTTTATTAGGATGGAGTGTGTGTGTGTGTGTGTGTGTGTGTGTGTGTGTGTGTGTGTGTGTGTGTGTGTGTGTGTGTGTGTGTGTGTGTGTGTGTGTGTGTGTGCGTGTGTGTGTGTGTGTGAGAGTTACATACGTGTTCAGATGTGAAGAGCACGAGGCGAGGAGCAGCAGACATGCCCTTGGTCTTGACCTCGGGGTAGTACTTGTAACGTGCGATCATCACACTGTACATGTTGGAGATAGCGCCCCCTGTTGAGCAGTGACACATCATTAGCTCCACCGCAGCTCCCACACATGGGGCACTAAAGGCTCATTAGACTCTTTCAACATTAAATAGTCACACTGAATTGGTTTATTAATGACCAACCTGGAGAAAATATCCCATCCCCCTCTCCACTGGGCCATCCAACCATCTCTATCATCTTCTTCAGAGTCAGCTGCTCCATCAACACAAACACCGGGGCGATCTCATAGGTGAACCTGTCAATCAAATCACGACATGTGTGAATACAACACGTCGCTCAATGTTACTATAACGGTGGAGGCTTTAGCATCTGCTTAGCCAGAAGGAGGGTTCTTCACACTTGCATTAAAAGAAAGACAAATACTCAAATGTAATGTTTCCAACTCAGAAAGAGTAGTTACAGACATAATTCAGCTTTAATATTATGTGTCTATGACGTCTCTGTCCTCTAACAAAAGTTCAAATGACTTTCAGCTCCATGGACAACAAATGAAAAACACTTCTGATT